TAGTTAGTGAAAGAGTGGGAGAAATGAAGAATAGTAGCTTTAGGATTAAGGATTTTAAGACAGCAGACATCTGTATATGTTTGAAAGCACGGAAAAAGGTGTCAGGTGGGTGAGAACTAGCTAGAGAGGCAGGAGAATGTGGAGAGGGAAGAAACTTGACCTTCACAGAAGTGCCTATTCTAGGCCAGGCAAGGTGCTAGATATTTTTATTGTTATCTTATTTGAATCTTCAAACAGTAGCTTGTAAAGTAGCCATTAAGTTTAAGTACGCCATTTTACATACTGGGAGTTTCAGGCCAGGGTAGGTGGTGACCTGTTTTAAGTAAGTGCAGGAGTCCAGGTACGCCTTCACCCCTGCTCTTTCCATTGTGCCCTGTGGGAGTTAGGCGTGGATGAGATCCAGAGCACCATGTTTGGGGTTGCCAGGATGTGCTGAGGGTGCAGTGAGAACTATAGTCGATCCGTTCCGCACAGTTGTGCAGGTTTCTTCAGATTTATCCTGTAGCCTGCACACTGAGCACAGACAGTGGGGATTACTAACATCGGGGAAGGGCAACATCGTACTGTTTTCATGCTGGTTATGGAGTAGAACATGCACATGGAAGTCAGCAGCCATTATGGAATACTGGAGAGCAGCTCTATGTAGTTGGGAGGGGGTATGGGGGTAAGCAAAAAATAAAAAGTCTTCATGATAAAAACAACTTTGTATGATCACATCTATATCAAACTATATGTGTGTAGGTATGCAGAAAGTTTGCATAAATATATAATAGTATACTTAATCAAAATAGTGGTTGGTGGTTATCTTGTCCATTGGAGTAATTACAGATGATTTATTTTACTTTGTATTTTTATGTGCTCTGAGCTGGTTTGTGCTTTTTGAAATTTTAAAAATAAGCATGTGTGACTTATATAACCGGAAACAAAAACAACATAGCCGCTTTTGTTGTGTGGAAAACAGCTTGTTGAATGAATTGTTGTTTTTAGAGGTAACTCAGAGAAGGGATTAGAAATTTTAGCCTTTGCTGACCAGATGAAGAGTAGACTTGGTACTTTTCCCATTGCTTTTTTAATACTGCTAACTGCAGTGTGAAAGTCAAAGAGAGGTGGATTTTGATAGTCAGCCTCCTGAGTTAGGGTCCATATCTTAGCACTCTCCTAGCACATCCCCTTACTGGGAGCTCCCAGACTGAGGGCTTTTTCTGGCAGCTCTGAGTTTGCACCTGAGACAACCTGGGAATGCTTGGGAGCTGATATCCTTGGAAGTAGCCCTCAACAGATGATGGATGAGAGTTAGTGGTAAATATTCCAGCTTGCTTGCCCACAGGCAGGACACATCCAAGGTTTTTACACACAGGTTCCAGAGGGCCCAGCAGGCCCAACCTCACCTCTCCATGTCACTGCACCTTGCATCAGCTCCTGTTGCTGTCTTACTTTCCACTCCTCTGCCGGCATCTTGGAATCATCCTTCCCCCTAAATCCTTGCCTCAGAGCCTGCTTCTGAGAGACACCAACCTGAGACAGGATCCTAGCACTATTTATCTGCCTTTTTCCATGTCTGTGGACAAAACACTTGTTGCCTACTTTCTTGTCCACAGGGCACGGAACAGGTTCAGGAACCTCCCAGAAGTGGTATCTGATATGAATACTTAATATTTGCAGCGGTGAAAAGAAAGTGGTGAATGTTTTTTTTTTTTTTAAGATTTTATTTATTTATTTGAGAGAGAGAGAGCACATGAGAGGGGGGAGGGTCAGAGGGAGAAGCAGACTCCCTGCTGAGCAGGGAGCCCGATGGGGGACTCGATCCCGGGACTCCAGGATCATGACCTGAGCCGAAGGCAGTTGCTTAACCAACTGAGCCACCCAGGCGCCCGAAAGTGGTGAATGTTGACAAAGAACTGCTTTCTCTTATTTCCCCACCCTGCTACAAGTGAGGACCTTGTGGTGACATGACCCATAGCCCTGACTCATAGTCCTGCTTCACAAATGTGAAGTAGGCCAATCACCAAGGCCTCAAGTGGCAAATTCCTTCATGAAGTTCTGTCTTTGAGTGACAGTGATCTTACCCACCCACTTCCCTCATCTGCAAGTCATCCTTCTGTTTCCTGAGCCAGATTTCAAAGGGCTTAAGCAGCTTTCCTATTTTACTCCCACCATGTAGTGCACTCTTATTCAGTGGCTCATGGTCGTGCAGCTGTTGGTGACGGCGGCATGTGGTAGATTTCATCCTCCGCTGAAATACAGACCAGTTGGCTTTGTGGACCCTCCAGCTGGGGGCTAAGTGGACCCGACACAAACTGGGATATTGCTGGAGTGAACGTGAGCTTTTGTATGTTAGTGCCTCTGTCTGTGGAAGGAAAGCACACAGGGAGGCTGCCTTTGAAAAACAACCTTGTAGGCAGCAGGCATCCCTCCCAGACTTTCTCCTCACACATCCCGGGCCCAGTTTCCTTGGATCAAGTGCTTGAGGCAGTGTGACTTGTTCAAGTGAGCCGGGGGATGGAAACTTGAAGATTGTTGTTGACTAAAAGGTTCTGAGGAAGAGCCCACTCTCATCACTTGGGGACAGTTCTTTGATGTTTTTCCTTCTTCTTCTTCTTCTTTTTTTAGAGGGAACCCATCTATCAAGTTTGTTTTTAAATCACTAGAATGTTCATTTCTAACACAAATCTTAGTTTGTGCTTGGAAATCCATTGGTAGGACTTAAATGGCAATTTGAACTACTGTGAGCAGCACCACATAGATATTAGCCATTACTCACTGAGATTGTGACCTTGAGGAAGCCAGAAAGAGTTAGAGGACCAGGGTTCAATTTCCAGCTCTGTTTCTTACTAGACTTTGGGCAAGTCATCTACTCTTACCTCTTAAATAGAGTAATAATACCCATCTCACAAGATTGGTGAAGTAAAAGAAATAAAAAGCACGTTTTAAATCATATAGCACTATACAGTTGTTAATTACTTCTGTTTGCTTCATTGCTTATTTCAGCTGGATTTGGATCTGTGTTTCAAGAAAGTATCATTCTAGATCTTGCCATTTGCAATGACATGGATGGAACTGGAGGGTGTTATGCTGAGTGAAATGTCAGTCAGAGAAAGACATGTATCATATGACCTCACTGATATGAGGAATTCTTAATCTCAGGAAACAAACTGAGTGTTGCTGGAGTGGTGGGGGGTGGGAGGGACGGGGTGGCTGGGTGATAGACATTGGGGAGGGTATGTGCTATGGTGGGCACTGTGAATTGTATAAGACTGATGAATCACAGATCTGTACTTCTGAAACAAATAATGCAATATATGTTAAGAAAAAAAAAAGAAGAAGAAGAAGAAGATAGCAGGAGGGGAAGAATGAAGGGGGGTAAGTCGGAGGGGGAGACGAACCATTAGAGACGATGGACTCTGAAAAACAGACTGAGGGTTCTAGAGGGGAGGGGGGTGGGGGGATGGGTTAGCCTGGTGATGGGTATTAAAGAGGGCACATTCTGCGTGGAGCACTGGGTGTTATGCACAAACAATGAATCATGGAACACTACATCAAAAACTTATGATGTAATGTATGGTGATTAACATAACAATAAAAAATTATTTAAAAAAAAGGTTTGCTTAAAAAAAAAAGAAAGTATCATTCTAGGAGATTATCAACTTCAGCTCTTTTTCTGTATAAAATAAATATATTGCTTTATGTATGTCTTTATAAGTTTTCTCAAATTATTTTTGGAATACATTAGAATATAGACCATGAATGAATGAATTAAATGAACGAGTGAATCTGTGGAGGTATCAGTCTAGCACTGCTTGTAAAAACTAAGTGTGCTAAGCAAACAAAGTCAGAAGAAAGATCTTAGCTTTAGTCCTGGCTTTAAAAATGGTACCACGTTCTGTGAAATAATTGAACAGAAAAATATAATTCTTTTTCTCTTTTCCCAGTTCTGTCTTAAAATCATTAACTCCTTTCAAATGTATGAGCCAGAGTTTTAAAAAGAGGATTAATGAATATAAGAACTTCTGTTATTAACATTCTTCAGAAATGAGTGGCCCTAACCAAAGTTCAATGGTCTTTTGGTAAGCCCTGCTTCCTGTCTAAAAGAAAGGAAAATCAAATCATCAGCATAATAGAAGAGTAAATCAGATGCACATTTCCTTGAAGACGAGTTTTCCCTTCTTTTGCTTGTTTCTTTTTGTTGTTTGTACTGTCTGCACCTGCCTCACACCCAGGGAATGAATTTTATAGACCTCAGGATGAGAGCTATCTTTGGTCACTTGCTCTGAAAGGCTCAGTCAGTGGTTTGGGGAGAATGAGAGAAACATATTCCAGATTGAGGTACCCACAAGTGGACCTGGTTACAAAGGTTTCGTTTGTACTTAACCCTCTCCATCAGACTGAGGGATGCCTCAAGATGCAGTTGTAAGCCAAACTCTTTTCTTGAGGGTGGAGAAACATACAGCTCTAGTTCTACCAGCAACCTAATGAAGTGGTTTTTCATAAGGTCACCAATGAGGTTTTCATTTAAAATCTGGGACTTTACTCCAAATGTCCAGATACTTAAATGCATTAACCATTTTCAAAGAGGCATGTGGTAAACAGGAAGTGCTCTAATGAAATCAGGCATATAGTGTCCACCTCAGGACCCAGGTCACATGAGAATTGGGTAGTTTTCTGTAGACTTTATAGAGAGCGGTGTATTAGGAATGAACTGAATAGGGATAAAAGAAAAAATCATTCAAAGCAATAGCCCTGAGGGAAAGTGGTGACAGGCAAAAAAAAAAAAAAAAAATCAGCGGGATATTAGGTTTTTTAAGGAAAAATGTTTAGCCTGTGAGTGTCACACAAGCATGTTTTAATTCTAAACATCTGAACCCAGTGTACATTTTCAAGCAATGATGGGAAATGTGGATAGGTTGAATGGAAAAAAGAAAACAGTTGAATTTGGCTAATTAAAATAGTACATATCGATTTCTGAAATGAAAGCTAACCATTATCTTGGTTTGAACTTGCAGCTCCTGGCTAAATACAGAGGCTTGCAGTGGGATAAAGTACTGCGACTAGAGGAGGTGCAGGCCAAACTTGGAGTCAGTCTGGAAGAAATGCTGTGGATCACAGAGGATGCCCTTCACCCTGAACCCTATAGCCCTGAGGAGGTCTGCAGGTGTCTGGGAATTAGCCTACAGGAGCTTCGAACCCAGATTTTGAGTCCAAACACTCAAGATGGTAAGTCTGCAGAAGAAAGTGAAGAACGTGGGTTGTTCCCCTACTCAGAGCTGGAAAGATTCCAGTTTCCCCATGAATTTTACTGATTTTGAAGCATACTTGAGGGTATTTGGAGAATGTGTATGTTTTGGCAAACTTAATTATCTAGATTCTGGGCTTCATTAAATTCACTGATTAATTCATCACCAAACACTTCCTGATCTGCTATATGTATTCTGGTGAGGCAAAGGTGGATAAAGCATGGCTCCTGCCCTCGAGAAGTTCCTATTTCAAGACGTTTCTCTTTTTTTCCTCTGTGCATTTTTCTGATTATTATACAACGTACACAAAAAGGTCTAGGTTGGAGCAGTGCTTATAACTGCTGGGCCCCCTGCCCTGGAACACCAGATAGTTCACTGCTTAGCTTGAAACTTGTGTCTGTTTACCTCCTGCTTTCAAGCAATGTTGTTTTCACACTGGTAACATCAGATCCCTGAGATGAAGGTAAAGGGCGGAGATGCGCAATGGGGCCCTGGGGTGACTTCTCTTCTTAGAAGGAAAGGTTGTCTGTCTGTGGACAGTCAGCACTGGGGAGCAGGGACATCTAGCTAAGATCCAGTTGCCTCTGGAGGTAGAGTTGGGTTGGGAGCTTGTGAAGGCCAACTTCAGGGCCCCGTTTCAGTTCAGTGCATTGCCTAAGCTGCTTAAAGTGGGTGTTAACTTTCTGCTCAGTTTGGCCTAACTCTGTGCCGTCCTGGCTCCCTTTTGAGTCCATACATGCCCACTTGGACAGTGTTGTCTGGGCTGAACCATTCCACTTACTAATTGCATCTTGGTCTTGCCTCTGGACCTTTAATCCTAAACATCACTGCCCTTTTCCTCTTATCTTAAAAGCTCAATATAATTCTTATCTTTTCCATATCCTTCTCAATCCACAGCTTCTTCTCTTTCTGTGTATCCATGTTCCTTTTTCTCTGCATCTGCCCGTCTTTCCAACCTCTCATTTTTTTTGTTTAGCATTTAAAAAAACAAGTTAACTTACTAGAAAACCTTGGAAAACACAAAAGATACTTTCCTTATCATAGTACATGCATTGCTGTTTATTTATATATTTAAGGTTTTCCCCCCAAAGAATATTGATTTCATTATTTTTATAAAAACGATGTATGCTTAATCTTACCCCTTCATCTAAAATAACTACCCTACTGGCCCACTTGCAATGCTTTCTATAATTTACTTATGTTTGTTTGTACTCAATAAATCTATGTTGAATGAATGAATCCATTTTGTAATTCTGCCATCCTCAAAGGGTTTCTTCCTCTTTTGCTATTGGAATTAGTAAGTTAAAAAAAAAAAACACAACTATGAACATAAATCAGTCTGTGGGGTTCTAGAATCTCCTAGATTAGTGTCACTTGATTTACTTTCTGAATCTAGGCATCTAACTTCCGCCAAATTTCCAGCTGAATTCTCTTGGCACCCTGCTTTCACTTTAGGGATCAAGATCCTATTGTATCCTTTCCTTGTTCCTTCTGAGTTTATGCTTTGGTTGGTCCAAGAACTTAAGCAAACGTTTCTCTTAACCCTTTAGAAGATGAGATTCTTACTAAATGTGGTGCTGCACTTAGATTATATGAGGGGACGCAGAGATGTCATATGCCCCCAGCAGAGGACTCTGGAGGGTGACTCCGCCTTCATTTCAGGTGCATACGCTTTAACATACTTAGTGTTTACTACAACTAATTTTTCTCATCAGGGAGATCCATTCCTTTCTCAAAGTGGAACCCAATGTTCTTTTTCAGCCAAAGTTGCTTTCTTTATCTGGTTATGAGTGTGAATTGGGAGATGTGCACCGTGAGGTGACAGTGCAAGGAGAGATGTTTACGATCAAACTATGGCTCGCAGCCTTTGCTAAGCCAGCCAGACTTCCAAAGGCTCATGTACACGTACAATTGTTGTTTTCTCTTTCCAAATTTCTAATAGTTATATTTGGACATGCTCAGAGGCCATTAAAATTAAACACACAAAGGAAAATCCTCAAATCCTTTAAATGTTGTTTAGAATGGCTACAGTCCATCACTAGGAACTGGCTAGGAGTAATTTAAGTATTATTTGTCAGGCCTTGCCCACAGGTAGGAAGAGTCTAAGGGTGTGATATGATGTGTGGGTTTCTAGAGGCTCAGGCTGATTTGAGGTGGGGGGTGTCTCCTAAGGGGTGAACCAAGAGGGAAAAGATGAAGCTATGGTCAGAACCAGGAGAGGTGGGCGCATACGGCTGGCACGGGGGTGGCCCTGCTGCTAAGATGCACTGTGCTGGGCTGGAAAACAAATCTCATTGCTTAGATTAGTAATCGCCTGGGACCATATGCTGACAAAGTGCTGGCCAGTTGCCGACTAATTTGTTTGCATCCTGTGATTTCCAAAGTCATGAGCAATAATCAGGCTTTTGAGCAAGCACAGGGCACTGACATGGACTGCTCTTTAGGAAGACATCTAGAGTAAAAAAAGCAACAAAAAACTTGTTATTTGCTTTATGGTTTACGTATTACTCTTCACTCACATGATATAGTTGGAATCTCACAACAACTCTGGGTCACATGGTTATCTTCATTTCATAGGTGAAGAAAGTGAGGTCAGAGAGTTACAGGATTACAGTTACAGTGATATGTGTTATGTACTGACCAGTGACTATGGCACTGATGGATAGGCTAGAGCTCAGAACCTTCCCCTTATCCCACAAGGCTAATAATGGCTCCTGAGCCACCCTGGAGCCACAAGAGCAGGAGAATTCTGGAATTTTCATTCATCCAGTCTCTTGTGTGAGACTGTTAAAAGAGCTAAAATGAAACAAATCCTGAAGGTACATTTTCAGGAGGAGTTGACCCCTGTAGTAGTCTTAAATACATTTGGTCATCTTGAACTGAGCCAGGCCCAGAATGAATCTATAAACTTGACCACCTCTTCATATTCTGTACCTTTAAACCCTTGAGTTCCCCAGGTTTCTCGAGTTACTGTGATGTGGGCATGGCTGGCAGGAGAGGATGTAGTGTGGTAGAGAGTTAGATCAGCGAGACTAAACATTGACCTCTGTCAGATGCTCTGGTCCTCTTTGTTGAAGACGAGTGTTTTCCTATCTCTAGGAAGGTCATCCTTGCGTACCGAGCCCTTAGCTTCAGGGACACCATACCTGGTGTGGAAAAGGAGGCAGGGGACATCTACTTTCCTGACAACAGTGGACCCATGGACTCTGGTGACCTACAGCTATGAAAGCAAACTGGGAACAAGTTTTCCAGCCTCTGATGAGACTCGCATACAGTAGTTTCTATAGTGGCATTTCCCAAAAATGAACCCTGACAGAGTCACAGCAACTAAATATGAGCCACAGGCACCATCTTCCCCCAGGATTTGTATCCTTGCAAAAGGGTCCCTGTTTTGTGCACCTCCGTATTCCTGCAATGACTAGCACATGTTTGCTGAATGAATAAATGAGTTAAATTAATTTTCTTCTATCCATATAGAGAAGTAATGGGTAGGAGGCCAATTCAAGAACGCACTCAAAGTCTAAGTAAAGGGTGGTGGTCAGGGCTGAGTATCTAGCTTTAAAAAAAATCTGTTCATCCTATATTAATAGTAATAATGTTATTAACATCTGACATTGAGTGCTTACTATGCTGTAAGCACTTACACTGTTCTAAGTGTTTTAAAACATTTGCTATACTTGGCCTCATGTTTAGAGTACCTGCATGAAATAGTCCTTTTCCAGGCTGTAAACTGGGGTAAACACCTTCGAACACACACATTCAAATACTGATGCATTCACCGTTCCTTTACGTTGTTCTCCCCACCCTCCTAACCTGTTCCTACTATTGAGATATGACAGTCAAGGTCCCCAAATTAGGCAGCGCCTGGGGAACAAAGAACTTTTTGATAGATGTTGTTTTTGTTTGTTTGAAAATCTGTTTAAAAGAGAGAGGCAAATGTATTTTCCATTACAATACTAATTAGGCTTGTGCTCACTGACATAACTGTTAATAATGCTGAATATTCCTTTTTCATTCTATAAACAAAGTGATACCAATGTTCTGCAGCCAACAGAACATTCTGTCTTGCATCTCAGTGTTTTTGACAGTGGTCTTTGAATTCACACATGGACTTTCCTTAAAACATTTGAAATCTCTGTAAGTGAAATAGAGCACAGGCTATGTAGATTTAGTTTAGAGGAACAAAAGGGGTAAAGACTGGCTTCAGATGATTTTGCTGCTAGGAACATCCATATGGTAGGTTCCAATATTTTGCTGTTTTACAGATGAGGAAATGGAGGCACAGAACAATTAAGTAACTTGCCCAAGGTCACACAGCTTAAAGTGGCAGAGTTGGGATTCAAACCCATGCAGTGACTCCAGAGCCCTCCCTCTATGTATGCCCTCCCTCTTAACCACTGATGTGGGGCTGTATTAGGCTTTTATCAGAGAAAGGCATTTATTATTTCGATTTGACCACGTGCAATTGTGTGAAGCTGTGTAAACAGTACATAAGGCTCTATCTTGGCCTCCGGTGCTGGAACCTGAAGTCGACGGGAAACAGTTAGGCAGTGATGATTGATGTGAAGTGGGGGGCAGCAAGGACAAGCAGGAACCCATGAGGACAGCCAGGAACAGGACTCAAACGCTCACTACCTCCGGGTCTGCAGCTTTGATGATACCGGTTTCCTGCAGGGGAAGCTAAACATGTACCTGGCCCAAGAGGCAGAGAAGCTGAAAGAAGGGTCAGTGGGATTGGGGCAGGGGCGCTGTGGACCAAGCTGCTCTTCCATGCTGGTGAAGTGAGCTGGCGGAGAAGTGGTAAGGTACATGAGCTGCAGTGGCACCTGGTGTCCCTGCTTAGACCACTGAGGCATCAAAATAAATGCCTTTCATCTTTCCTAATATATTTTTTAATTTGCTTGTTTCTCCTGTAACTACCTGGTTTCCTGGCCCTGCCAGCTTCCTCCTTCACCCCAGCTGCCTCCTTGGCCTTGGCAT